GATAACTGCTCCCGTTGATCTGGAGTGAACCTTTTCTAGCAAGTCCCAAAAGAAGGTTAACTGATCCACATTGGGGGCATAATAGGAAACAAGCGTGACCTCCTTATCATCCAAGAGACCCGTGAGGATCAGGTACCGTCCCTGAGGGTCCCGGGTCTCCGAGTGGCATGTAAAGTTCACTGATCTTCGGAAGCCAATAAGGACCCCTCTCTTTTTGCATGAGTCATGGGCCATGAATATATTTGGAAATTGGGAGCTAAAATATTTGGGGCAGGACGTTCTGGAGAAATGAGTTTCCTGCAGGAAACTATATTAACATGTGCCGATTGAAAAAATCTAAAGGCCCGTGTTTTCTTGTTTGGGGAATTGAGACCTTGCACATTGAGGCTCAGAATTTTAAGAGACATAGTGTGTTAGGGGGGATATTGCTTACTGTACTCACCCAACCTGAGTAAACGGGAGACCGCTGGTATGCTTGCCCCAGATGGTACGTGGCTCAACTCTGAAAGCGATTGGTGAATCCGAGGTGGGAGACAAGAAGGTGGGGAGAGGGATGGACAAGAGGGAGAGGGATACACAAGACAAGACATAGAGAACAGCAACACAAATTCTAGAACCGGTAGTGGATATAATCCACAACATGCCTGGAACGTTGAGCGGATGGGACTATTGTACCGCATACCACCCAAGGAATCCAAGAGATGGGGAACACAGTGACGGGCTCGCCCGGGCAAAATTATTTGCAAACAATACATTCATCAACCTTCCAAATGGAACTAAGCATAAGAACAGGAACATGTCATTCATGTATATTCAAAATTTGCGACCACAATGGGCCAGGACCCTGAGCCGAAGGGGAGGGTGGGTAGGTAGGCACTGAGGGGTGTACTCTTAGGCAACATGGCGTTAAGGTAGTATGGTGTGGCTAGTAATAAAGTGCAGAGGTAGTCAATGCTCAGGACACTAACTGAGGGTCCAGGTCAAATGAATATAGCTACTATATACATACGTTAGTAATTGGGGAAGAGTCCTCCTTTCGGCTGTAGGGGATGGCAGAATCAATTAATCTGCTCGTCAGTATAGAGGGACAGTGTTACCAGGGCCCTGGTACACTGATGCTACATGAAAACGATTTATAGGCAGATCTTGTACAAAGCTATTAATGAGTGAGGCACTAAGCAAAAGGATATTGTGTGGGAAAATCAACTAATGCATTTTCGAGGAACGTAGGGGTAGGGGGAATGGTATTCCGCATTGGTGTAGGATGGGAAGTTCGATGGTGAAAGGACAGTTTCTTTTCCCTCTGTAAGATGGCTTGTTTCACTCCATGTTGTAGTGGGGGGTGACCAAGGTGGTAAACCTTTTCCGGAGGAACTTGGACTCAGATGTAGATACATTACAAGGTTCTGGAGACCCAGCTGAGGCGGTCTGACTGTGGATGGGATGGCGGTTAGTTTTATGGTGGGAAAAGAGGATCTCAGTGCAGACAGATGGGTACTAAGGACATCCACAACTGCGGATCAAACCTGAGGTAAACATCGGCTGAAGGTAAGGCGCATGCCACCATTATGGCTGGTAGAGGAGAGGAATTAGCCCACCGGAGGTGGCAGGGCTGTTCAGCGTGCTGGCGGGTTTTTGGCGGACATTTTGACTGCAGGCCTGCGTGAATCCCCTGAGTTGCGTTGATCCGAGTCGCTCCTGGATCTTTTGGAGGTCTGGGTGGCGGGATTCTGCGAATCCGGGCTCTGAGGATGCGAATCCGTTAGGCCAAGAGTAGCCAACTTACGTTGTGTGTCTTCCAGGGTGACACAGGTGTGATGAGTACCTCCTTGAGTGAAGAGCAATTTGAAGGGGAATCCCCACTTGTATGGGATCCGATGCTTGTTTAGGACATCTAGGCACGGGCGCAGAGACCTTCTTTTGGCGATGGTCGAGGGGGCCAAGTCCGTGAACAGTTGGTACTCATGGCCCTGGAAAGTGAGTGGGCCTTGCTGCACCTTGGTCCTAGCTGCTAATACAAGTGCTTCCTTAGTGCGATAGAAGTGCAGTTTGACTAGTACGTCTCGGGGGGGGACCATCTGGTCGTCTGCGGTTAAGCGTGCGGTTTGTCCGCTCAATTTCCAACCGCTCCAGGGCAATGTCAGGGTCCAGTTCCTGAAAAAGCGCCGTTGTAGTGGAGTATAAGTCCACTATGTGCTCCGGGAGTCCACGGATGCGGAGATTGTAGCGCCGGGATCTATTCTCTAAATCCTCCAGTTTAGATAATAGCTGGGTGTTTTCCTCACGGAGGGACTCCATGTCTCCCGAGACCACTGATAAGTCAGTTTTAAGGCCATCGCATCTATCTTCCAAGGCCGCTGTTCTCTGGCCTATATCCCTTATTTCCTTCAGTAATCTATAAGTAATCTGCTTGGAGGTAGTTTGGAGTGCCCTTTGTAACATGGTGTCAAATCGTTGTAAAAGGGCAGTCTGAGATCTCTTTCTAGAGCGATTTCCCTCATGGCTGTCCTGCTCCCCTTCATCCATATCGCTGCTGGACACAGAGGAGGCGCGAGACACTGCTTCATGAGCGTGGGCCGCGGGCGCCATCTTGGCTGAGGCCTTAGCCATCGCCTCTGTTATAGGTGGCTGCTTACCCTTCTGGGGTTTTTTCGTCAGCGATACTGACATGGCTCGATGCAGGGGACGTTCCGGTGTCGAGGTAAGGCAAGGAGACGTGTGGGGAGATGAGATGAGTTCAATGCACCGCCACGCCCGCTCCTGCCCCACAACAAAGTGAGCCGGCCACAATGCGATCCAGTGCGTTCTGGCCGGAACGCACTTTGGCTGGTGTCACCTAGCCCTGAAAGTAAAAAATTTTAAAAAGGATTCAAAGAAAATAGTAATAGGAGAGTAGTGTAATATGTTAACCATCGATTAACACAGAAAGTTTAGAGTTTAAGTGATACCCTTAATTAACTTAAAGGATAATTAAAGCCTCGTATGTTCTTGCATATATTTACTGCTAGCAAGCAGTAGATATATGCAAAAACAATAAAATAAAAGTTTAAAAAGGGTTAAAACTCCAAAGATCTGAAGATTCTTCGGTGGCCGCAAACGGTCATGGGGTGGGCGCATGCGTAGATCTTTGGCCGGGAATAGAGGAGAGACACCAGGTAAGTTAATGCAGCAGCGTGCATACGCACAGACTCCGTTGGACAGGAAGTGCCAGGAAGAGAGAGGAGTCAGCGCTGGTTCAGAGACCGGCACCAGCGCTGGAGGGACTCCTGAAAACTACTGGAAAGAAGAAGATGATCAAGAGGCATCACTTAAGGCAAGTCCTTACATTAGCATTGGGGGGGGACTATTAAATTCAGAGAATTGTATAAAGCCTCAAAAAGGCAACCAAGTCATCTTAAACTAAAAACTACAAACTTTCTGCTAAAAATGTTTTTAAAATATTTACTTCAGACTCAGCCGCTTCCTGTAGGGCCTGGTGATGGCATTGTTCCTCATGGCTGCCTCCTGAGAAAGCTAAGTACTCCAAGTTCTGTGAGAATGCACTTCAGCAGGGCTTTCCCTAAAACGGGTGCATCTCTTTGGTTATGTGGGTGTCGGGGGGGGGGTAGGCAGGGCGATATGGACACTTTGCTGCACAATGTTTTCAGTGTGCCTGCTGCCCCCTTTTTGGCCAGAGTGTCTCAGGTTGCTAAGAGCACGGTGAGGAGATGTGTAAGGGCAATACACATATCCCCGTCCAGCAGTTAGCTCTGGCCAGCATCCCACCCAGCTCCTGTCAACTGACATCACTGGTTGCCAGGAGCTGAGCAGGACACCAGCCAGAGCCACTCCCCTGGCTGCTGGAAGCCAGCAATGTCACTGGGCAGGATGTCGGCCAGAGCTGGGCGGGGAGATAATTCAGAGGCCTGCCCACCCCTGCCGTGTGCACCCTGTTGCCTGCATTGACCTCCAGAACTCTACAGGAGGCAGCACTAAAGCACAGGGATGTTGCCATTGCCTACAGGAAGCAGCTAAAAGCCTGGGTCTGAGGTTTTTTATTTTTTTACTTTCTATCATTGTTTTTAGCTTTTTGCTCTCTGTTGATTTTTTCATGGGTGGGGTCCTCAGTAATAAGTGGACCTTGCATTTTCATTCTAGGTTCACGTAAAAAACATTTTTATTATAAATTATTCACCAATGATTGCTATGGAGAATCTATTAAGGGAATTTATCAAAACTGAAGCAGACAAAATCTGGAGCAGCTGTGCATAGCAACCAATCAGCTTCTCTCTTTTATTTTCAAATCTTAACTGAACAATCTGAAGAGAGAAGCTGGTTGGTTGCCATGCGCAGCTACTATAGATTCTGTCTGCTCCAGTTTTGATAAATGTGTTTGGCCTTGCCCTTAAGGCCCCATTCACACCAGGCCCCATTCACACCAGGTTGCAGATCAGGGCGGTTTTGGGAGTTTTTAATTGTGTTTCAACGCTGAAACGTAATAAAAAATGCTCAAAACTGTGATGAACAGCGCGGTTCCATTGAAAGCAGTATGGAAACCGGTCTGATCAGCGCTGCAAAAAAAGAGTCAAGGAGCAATTCTGGCAGGAGGCGGTTCAGATCGCGCGGAGCCGCATGAACAGTCCTCATAGCAATGTATGGGATTGTTCATGTCGGCGGATCCGTACGGCCGAACCGTCCTGGTGTGAACAGGGCCTAAATGAGTGAGTACAAAATCCTTATTTGCATTTAAAAGCTTTCCCCCTTGCACCTTACAAAATTTCACCATACAAAAAAAAACATACAAAATTTCATGGTAGGAGGCTAATACTTTCCTCAGTCCTAGGAGAGAAAGATCTCTTCCACATTATTCACCCTGGTTGCACCCCGTATTGATCTTTTTTATAAACTATTTAAAACTTTTTTGAAAATTCCATAGACAGCTTTTAAAACATAAAAATTAAGAAAAAAAATGATAAGTGCCACTATCTTTGCCCAACAAACCGAGCAGTGGTGTGTCTCACCGCATTTTTCTTCATATCTCCTTTGCCCGAGAACCAGTCCTGCATCTGCACCTCATCCTCTCTCCAAGAAATTCCCTGGTCAGCAAGTAGGAGCCGTAAGGCCTCTGCTCTCCCTGTAAATATATAAAGATCTGATATTAGAGATTAATATCAGGTAAGAATCCAAAGTTAGAACCCCTGGCAGCTTTTTTTCACTGTCAATGGCCCCATTTGGGAGATTTTTCCTCACTTCATTCGACATTGTCACCACGACAGGAAATAAGGGGAAATCCTCATAACTGGATACAAAAAGCAAAAAAAAAAAAACTGATAGAAACATAGAAGAGTGATAACAAAAAGGTCCATCAAGTGAGCCTTTTTTTAAAATGTACAGTTTTTCTAAACTTTTTATTTTTAATATGGTATTTATTTATTTATTTTTATTAAATATTTTATTTTTTAACTTTACTGCTGGTGGCTTTGGTGACATATCAGGGGTCTAGACAGACCCCTGATATTTCCCTTTTTAAAATATGAATAAACAGGAATCCTCTATACTGTGTTCCTTTTCATTCATAACTTGTGGATATAGTATGGGTTACTATGTACACAATCCTGAATGAATAGGAAGTGATGTAGACCACTTCCTATTCATTCATAACTGGTACATAGTAACTCATACTAGGTCCAGTTATTTTCAAACATTCAGCGATCACCGATTGCTGAATGTTTGTTCCCGCTCTCAAACCTGGATCGGCTCTCACAGGAGGCTGAGCCGGCGGTGCAGTAGGAGAGTTCGGTCTATTTTGACAGCTGACTCCCCCCCTTATTGCTGGCTTGGCTTCCTGTGACCGCTGTCTCTGCCCTCTACATCGCTCTCCATCCTGATTTGTTACAGGAGGCTAGGCGGGGCTAGTGCGGGCTCAGCCTCCTATGACACAGACTGCTCACAGCGCTCTCCTCCCGGCCCCGATCGACCTCCTGAACATTTCCCTCCTCCCCACAGGATGCTGTGCTGTATCAGAGCAGACACAGAGCAGAGCCCAGTGGGATAGGAGAGAAACCAGGCATACACCGCAATTTCGGCCAAAAGATGGCACTTTCGGCATTTTGCCAAATGTGCCATTTTTGGCCGATATTTCAGTGCACCCCTACTTTTGTATCCCAAGCATGTTTAAATACACTTACTATTGATTGTCTCACTACATCTACTAGCAGGCTGCTCCAGGCTTCCACCTATGCTTGAATGAACTATGTATCCACTAAAGTACCCCACTAAAGTTCTAAATGTGTCCTACTCTATCCAGCTAATAATAAACAATTTTGGCTAGAGCTACAATTTAAGGAAACGTGCCCATGCCCATGCAGGACAAAGCCAAAGGGCTGTTTTAATGTGCCCCTTCCCCAGCAGTTTTGCCTTTTGTTTGCTCCTTTCCTTTTTGGTTCAGCCACTGGGAATAAAAAAATACCTAGCACTTTGGTGTATGTGAATTACTCCTCTTCCTCTAATGTGACAAGAGTAGTGCTTGCCAGATGATAGTGGGAAGATAATCCATAACCCTTTGTAAACTCAGACCAGGGCAGCTTTGAGGTTACACAAGGCTTCCTTGTCTTCCTCCTGGTAGCTGAACAGAGGCAGTGAAGCCAAGGAAAGGTGAGTATGTGCTTCTGGGGTGGTGGGCTTTAGATAAAGCCTGTTGCTCTGCATGGACAAAGCACAGGTTTTCTATAAGAAAAAATACAATAGCTGTTAATAACTATGAGCAAGCCTGAAACAGACAGTGTCTACCATTTCCTCCTGCAGTAATTGGCCAACCAAATTTACAGGAGGCTAGTTGTAAGTATGGCAGTATAGGGGAGGGGGCATTCTTTCTACTACAATTGTATTGGGGCACTTCTTAACTGGTCACCGATAAAAGGTAAAGGTTGAATTTACACTGAAAGTCAAACTAACTAGTGATTCTATACTGATCAGCATTGTGTAATTGCATCATTTACACTGACCAATGCAAATGGGGCTTTTATTAGTGGGTCCTTACCTTTTCATTGGCCACCATACCAATGGCTTTTTTGGGGGTTGCCCTCTAACCATCAATGTAAAGGAGGAAAATAGGGGAGTTTTGTAGGGTTATGTAGGTAAAATACTCCTCGTTTATGCTATGCTGTATGTTATGACGAATCCCTGTGCTGTACACCTCATAGCACAGGGATTCTGTACTTTGTAAACTGTGTACAGTAGTACATAGTAAGGTAGGAAATCTGGGGGTTTAAAAAATATGCAGTTTAAACATTAAACTGACTTTCAATTTTACAGAATGTCTGTCTGTACTTCTGATCAGAAAGGAAATCTTAAAACAATTGTTAAAGATTGTTATAGAAACTACTTCTTTCACCTTTCCTAAAGTCATATACATATTACTTTTCCCCTATATTAACCTCCACCATATACTCTCCAATTTAACCCCCTTTGTTTGCCCTTCCCCCTGCCAAATAAATGGCACGTCTCACCAGCTATATAAACAAAAGACCCTTACCCGACTCCCACCATGCATAGTTCTAAAGCTATGGGCTACTAAAAGAGTAGAGGCTGCTACACTCTAGCAGGCAGAAGGGTAGGAGAAGCACTACTAAATAATGTAGACAGCTTGCGTGCACCAGCTGGATAATTAATTAGCATCAACAGTATCACAAGGCAGCAAGATCAGTGCTGCATACATTAGTAGCATACATAAGTAGCTCCATGACTGTGGCAGGATCAAGCAACATTTTGGGGGTTATTCACGAAGGAGCCGAAGGATCCAGCCGTAGCTTTGGCTGATCCTTCGGCTCTCTTCGGCCGCCAGAGCCCTGAAGGGCTGCTGCACAGGCTATTTACAATAGCCCGAACAGCAGCCGAAGGCGGCCAAGCGGCTCAGCCGAGCCAAAGGTATATGCTTCGGCTCAATTGAGCCAAAGTGACAGCCGAAGCGGAGCTAACGTAAGCCCCGCAATTGACAGCTGGATGGAGCAAGCCGTGATCTATGCCCAGTTGTAATGACAGATCAGCGTCCCCAAATGACCAGGGGACGCTGATCTGTCATTAAACAATAACAACTGGGTGGAGCCAGCTGAGATGTCATGGTCGGCTCCGCCCAGTTGTTATTCATTTGCCGGGACCTGCTAGAAGACTCTAGCAGGTGCCGGCAATAGGAGACCGTTGGGCGGAGCTAGCTTTCACTGCTAGCTCGGCCCAATTGTTTTTTCTTCTTTTTTAAAAAATCTTTGTTTTTTAATTTACTATTTATTTACATTTTAAAGATATTTTTAACTTTTTTCATTGATTTTCTATTCTGCTCGGTACCACGGAGGAACGTTGCAGAATAGCTGGGCCAAATGCCTATCAGCGGCATTCAGCTATTCACTCACTGCCTTTCGGCCCCTATGAGAATAGGATGTTGGATCGGCTTAGTATGCAGAGCATGTTCAGCTGACCAAAGTGCAAGTGAAATCAGCCGTACTGAGCCGGAGTGAATAGCTGAACGTTGTTCCTCTCACTTCACTTCGGCTGGGTTGTTCACTCGGCTGCCTTGAGGTTTGCCATGAGGTTTGTTTTGGCAGCAGCCCAGGGGCTGCCTGCCACTTAATGAATGTGCCCATCTTTAAAATATTAATGAGGAGCCTTGGAATTCGGAAAGGGGGCAGGATCATGATTGACTGTTTTGGGAAAAGTTGAGCTTTGCATATATCTTTAACAGCATACATTTCTGGATCTACCAATTGTGCTGATATGTCATATTTTTCCTTCCACTGAGAAAGGCAGCACTAAGCCCCACCCATAAGCATTACTTCCACCTACTGGTGTCTATTATCTCAAGGGAATGGAGAGAGCTGAGAGGTCAGAACGCAGGTGAAAATCGTAACTTGTGCCACCCTCAAGAGCATACCAAGTTGAGCAAGATCTTTATCTTCAGAGTAGTACTGGTCCTGGCAATCTTTAGTTATGGAATATGAGCGTACCCTATAAAGATCATCAACTTACCTCTTACAGGGAAATAAGTTATAACAATTTCAGACACTGCAAGAGAAAATAAAATAATTATGCTCTATAAACAGACAGAGCTATATAAAAAAATGCTAGACAAAGTTATTGAGATACCTATTATGATAGTTATCCAACTGAAACTGGCAGCAAAATTAGCCGAACTCTACATTAGAGGAGCACCATTTTGCATTTCCCTAACATTAAGAAAATATTTTCTGGTTCAAATAGTAAAATGATTGTAGCTGTATTAGTGCACTTGAAACAAGTTACAATTTATTTATTTTTTGTATTTAGCAAGCAGCATTTTCTTGCTTTCGCACTGGACCAGATCGCAGAAAATGTTTTGCCATGTGTCCGATCGCACTGCGGGCGGAGGGCATGGCTGCGGTGCAATTTACTTCAATGAACGAAGGGGGGAGTTGAGAGTGCAATTACAGTGCGTTCCAGCAGCTAGTGCTCTGGAATGCACCGCAATTGGTGTGAATGGGCCCTAAAAGTTTTAGTTTCCTGCAAAATCAGCTGGTCTCCTGAGCACTGGTCCTGACTCCCTGTTTTAGAGTCACTCTTTTCTCAAACTGAGTGCTATGCAATCACCATTGTGTGTGCTAGTAAGCTGTGTGTCTCCACAAACACAGATACAGCAAATCAAGCTAATTCCCTCCCCCTGGCCCCTTCTCCTCCCTCCTCCAAGCAAGTAGATGAACAGTTGATGGAGTCTGCTCTGTCCCTTGTGCTCTTGTACTGGACAGGAAGTTCAGGGAAGCTAAGCTCAGAGACTTGGAAGAAGCTGTTCAGAATCAGCGTATATTTGTTTGATCTGGCTTCATTATTAAAAAAAGTTTGAGAGTTTAATACTACTTTAACTATTAATACAAATGTACCTTATTTGTGTATCAATAGGCTGTAGATCCTCAAAGCTCCCGTGATAGATTATAACTTCAATACAAATTAGTAAACTAAACGTGAGATTGTAGTCCATCACGGGAGTGAACTTGCAGCATGGGGAACAAAAGTAGCCACCCTCTAGAAGGAAGGACAGTGTCAGCACGAGTTAAATGATGATTTAAGGATACACAAATGTACATTTTTGTTAATAGTTAAGGTACTTGTATGCCTTCTTAAGTTTAGTGTCACTTTAGCTGTCAATGCAAATAAAAAAGCATCAAAGGACAGATCTCAACTGGATTGTTCATATAGGAAATATTTAAAATATGTAAAAAGAGAAAAAAAACCTGCCAAAAAGCAGTTGTTTAACATTTTTAAGCTGTTCCATTTTAAAAAAGCTCAGCAAAGGGAAAGCAAACTATGAAAAGATGCCCAGGAGGGTGCCATTGATGAAATGTTCCATTAGTGGATGCACGCTATTCTGCAGGAGCCAGAGCACTGTGATCCAATAATCCATGTATACCATGTCCCTGCCTAAGGCAGCATCTCATTGAGTCACTTGGGAGGGAAGGTAGGTGTGCCTGCTACCTCCTTTCCGGCCAAAGCATCCCTGGTTGCTTAGAGCTCTTAGCAACATGTGACGCTCTGGTTGGGGTCCCGTCGAGCTCACTGACATCACTGGTTGCCAGGAGCTGGGCAGGACGTACTGATGTCACTGGTTGCCAGGAGCTGGGCAGGACGTACTGATGTCACTGGTTGCCAGGAGCTGGGCAGGACGTACTGATGTCACTGGTTGCCAGGAGCTGGGCAGGAGGAAGCACTGTGATCCAATAATCCATGTATACCATGTCCCTGCCTAAGGCAGCATCTCATTGAGTCACTTGGGAGGGAAGGTAGGTGTGCCTGCTACCTCCTTTCCGGCCAAAGCATCCCTGGTTGCTTAGAGCTCTTAGCAACATGTGACTCTCTGGTTGGGGTCCCGTCGAGCTCACTGACATCACTGGTTGCCAGGAGCTGGGCAGGACGTACTGATGTCACTGGTTGCCAGGAGCTGGGCAGGAGGCCAGCCAGAGCATCCCACACAGCTCCTGGCAACCAGTGACATCAGTACGTCAGTGAGCTGGACCAAGGGATCATGCACCCCCCCCACTAGTAATGTGTGTCGCCATCCCCCACCCCCTGTAATATGCTGCACACCCCCGCCAAAAAAAGCATGAAAAAGCGCAAAAATGCGCGGTTTGGTGCGTTTCCACTGAAGTCTATAGAGCAAAATGAACTGATAAGCACCACAAAAGAAGCTCATGGACTATTGGACGTTAGCGCGAACGTCCCCATTAGGAATATATAGGATTTTGATTTGTATACATTTCAGCATGGAAAAAAACACGTGATGAAACGCCGTGGTGTAAACGGGGCCTTATTCTGATTATACTACAAGACAGGAAGGCTAAATACATTATTTCTGTGTTAGCAGCGGTAAATAAATAATTTCACTTAGCAAGACAGTAGGTAATGCTGCAGATATAGAGTTTGGACTTTATTCTGACTTTCCTAATCTGCAAACTTGTTCCAGTCCAGTCATGCAGAAGGAGTTGAAACCAGCATAGTAACCAGGCAGTCAGCATTTTTAGAAGAACATCAGTTGCAGCCTCCATGTTTCTCTCAAAAAAAGGTTTAAAAAAGTATTTCCACTTTTGCAGCCACATTGAAATAACATCTACTTTATAGTTGATACATGTTTCCATTCACATAGCATAATCTTAAAAAAGATTTAGCATCTGCTGCTTACCTTTTGCTTACTTGCTTGAAAATTCTAGATTTGCACACTATTTTTCCTAACAAAGTGTTAAAGATCTGAAAGTTCGGGTGGTACAGTGTATGTTAACCACGTGCTGTCAGGAGCAATTTCTTACATTTGCACACACATGATAAAATCAGAATTTTTGTCTAGAAAACAGCTTCAGACCCCCAAATAATTATATATTTTCTGAAAGCAGAGGCCCTGTAAAATGAAAAGATGCTAGTTGCAATTTTTTAATTTGCACACTATTTGCACAAATGTTTATCAAACAAGTATTTTAAGGATACAATACACTAAAATGAAATTTAGTGCACAGAAACAGAATGTCATACCCAATTTTTTGGCAAAATATAAAAGATAGGGTCACGCCGGGTAAATAGATACCAAACATATCATGCCCTAAATTGCGTGCGTCCGTGAAAGCGCAACAATAACCAAAGTGTCCCAATAGGCGACACGTTAAACGCTTTTACTGCTCATCAGTTTAGTGTTAACAGTGATTGATGGGCCTAGAATTATTGCTCTCACTCCGACACTCACAACGATATGTAACGGGTGGCGCAATTTTTGTTTTTGCACGTAGACGTATACAACGCGTGTTTGTGTTGTATGTGCGTGCACGTGGGGGACGGGGGACTTGCATTTTTTCTTTTTTGGGGCCAATTTTGTTATTCTGCGCTTAGGATATAGCTAGTTTAATTTTTTTCTTTTTTTATCTGTTACTTTGATTTTTACAATTTTTTTTTTTTAATTTACACTCAAGTTTATTGCTATCGCATAGGAGGAAAGCAATCCCCCTCTGTAATAGCAAACATGTGACAGGTCCTCTTTATGGAGACATAAGGGGTCTTTCAGACCCCTAATGTCACCTAGAGACCCCAAAGAAGTTGATGAAGCAGAGATCTGCTTCACCAGCTTCTTCTTCTGGCTCTAGGAACCAGAGAATGTGTACAGTGACACCAGAAGTGATGTAATGCACATCACTTCAGGGTCCGTTGATTGGAGAAGAGATCAGCGGCTGGACGCCTGCTGATCTACCCCCGATCCATCAGGGGAGATGCGCCGTGCCGGTCTGGGCTCCCATGGGGGACAGCAGAGCCCTGGAAGCCGACGGCGGCATCAGCGGTAGGGACACACACACACACATTGTGCCGCACCGTACAAGCGATCCGGCACCTGTACAGACGCCAGATCGCTTGTATTTAAACAGCGATTGCCGGCTGTTTAAAACAGTACGAAGAACACAGCTGCAGTAGCAGCCGTGTTATTGGTATATCCACCTCCAACGGATGACTTACATTTACATGAACCCGCTGGAAGTGGTTAAAACTCTTTTTGAAAAAGGTTGCTGTTTTAATGGGAAACAACAACAAAAACATGTGGCGATGTTTCTCAAATTTGACTGCAAAAGTGGAAATACACTTTAAGCAATATATTCCAACCAACCCCCCCTTGCTCAGCAGGAAACAGAACACTATTATTGTATTGCTTTGCAAACATGCTGCCATGTCGACATGGGTACAACCAACAACAGGAAACTTCTATTCTTGGGTCTTTTCCATTAAGGAGCAACTATTTCTTATATAAAAACTACTTGCCCCCAGGTTTTCTGTGATGACCTGGACAACAGCTGCAGCTGCACATTGATTTTTTATACTCACAGCAGGATATACCCCAAACACTAAAAACACCCAATAATATTTCTGTTGAGGGGCTCTACTGAGGAATGCTTCAAACTGATTGCTCTTCACTCTGTTGGTGCGAATGCCTTTAATAAAGAGTTCCTCCAGCTAACGCAAAGGCTTCCTGGTGTGGTCAAACTGGACTTCGCCCAAGAAACTTTAATCTACCCATGCTTGTTTATACACCTACTACAGTGTAAAAAACTACCACAGTCACTCTCTAAAGCTTGAAAAGAAATAAGAAACATGGATAGCATCCCTGAAATAGTACCCTGGCTAATAAATAGAATGAAATGTAAAAAATGTGGGTACTGTATTTCACCCCTTGAAATATTTACTTACTGTTGTTTGTCTTGGTTGACTGATGTGCTGCCTTACAATGGTAAAGCCCAACTGTCTGCCACAGGATTTGTTTTATGAAAACAGCTTATGCTGAGTCATTGTGATTTGTATAACCAAAGAAGCCAAGGGGAGGGTCATAGTACACTGGCTGAAGTTACTGAAATATGAGAGTATAAGGCGAAAGGGTGTATAGAGAATATTTAAAAACTGGTTTAACCTGTTTTAAAGCCAAAAAAAAAAATATTCTAAGTGCAATGTTTTCTTTATCTTGAGAGGACTAGCTTTTGTAAATGAGTGAATGAGTAATTGTTATATAGAGACGT